GTCAGGTCAAAGAACTGAAATTTTGTTTGACAACTGAACCATTTTTTCCTTGAACAACTCGGTGGAGAACCAAATTATCTGAGATGGGAGACGTTTTAGAACCGAGTTTTGACTGTATTATTTTGCTACCTATAGTCACTTTTTTAGACCAATACAGCTTTGCTTCAACTGCCTTTTTTGCTTTGTATTATTAGTAAATATATTATACATATATTACATTTTATATGTTATAAGCCTAGCAATACACTATGTACATAATTTTATACAATTCCTCTTTAAATCGGTTAGGAGAATAAAAAAGGAAAAATATTCATTTATAGTGCCTTTCACAATTACTTTGTTACATTTACTAGTGCTCTTTGTTTATGTGGCTTCACATTACCCTCCAGGTTTTCTTGCTTTCAGCCTGAAGAACTTTTAATATTTCTTATAGGGCAAGTTTGCTAGCAACAAATTGTTTCAGCTTTTGTTTATTTGGAAAAGTATTTATTTTGCCTTAGTCTTTTAAAAAAATAGCTTTGCTGATTATAGGATTTCTGGTTGACAGTATTTTTTCCTTGTAAGCTTTGAATATATTATTCCACTGCCTTCTTGCCTTTATTGTTTCTGCTGAGAAGTCAGAAAATCACCTTATTAAAGTTCTCTTGTGTCACATTGTTTTTCTTTTGTTGCTTTCAAAGTTTATCCTTGTCTTTGATTATCACCATCTTGTGTCTATTTGTGGTGTTTAGCTGGAATAAGCAGATATTTTCTAAATGTTCTCTGTCTTTCTAGGACAGAACTTTCTTGGCATAGAGAGAGCAGGCTTTTGTTAGGGCTTGCCTTTCTTCCTTTTTTCTTTCCTTCCTTCCTTCCTTCCTTCCTTCCTTCCTTCCTTCCTTCCTTCCTTCCTTCCTTCCTTCCTCCCTTCCTCCCTTCCTCCCTTCCTCCCTTCCTCCCTTCCTCCCTTCCTCTCTTTCTTTCTTTCTTTCTTTCTTTCTTTCTTTCTTTCTTTCTTTCTTTCTTTCTTTTACCAACTCCTATCTCTTACAAAGTACTTATTTATTTTCCTCTTCAGTGGTGGCTAAAATCAGTTTAATTTGCCCTATGCTTGGGTAACTAAATGCCTCAATACTTCAGTTAGCATTCAGTGTGCTAAATACTTCCAGGAAGGAAACAAACAGAAAAATACAAACAAACAAACAAAACAAACAAAATAGATTGCAACTTTAGAGAGACGATGTATAAATTTGAGCACAATAGATGATATTTAGAAATTTAAGTTAAAATTACTTACAAGCTTTTTATGAGCATTTACTGGTGCTGCTTGTATCTCTGGTTTTCAGTGGGAACCAGCAAGCAGGTTGGAGTCTGTCCTGTCTACATGTATTCTGCCTGGCCTTTCTTAAAACTGCAGTCCTACTCTGACCTTTGTTTTTTTTTTTCTTTTATCAAACTGAAATTACTAACTGATGACAAAATGTCTACCTAATACTAGGTATCATTTCTTTCTGTACCTCATCCTTTTATTTAGATTGGGCATCTTGGTTATTGACATATCCATACATTCAAATTGGGATCTTGTTCTATTCCTTAGTTTAGGCTGCATCAACAAAATTCCATAGACTGGGTGACTTAAACAAGAAACAGTGTGGAAGTTCAGGAGTTCTGGAGGTTGGAAATCTGAGATCAGAGTTCCTGCATAGTTGGATTCTTGGTAAAGGCCCTCTTCCTGGCTTACAGATAGATGGCCACCTTCTTGCCATATCTTCACATGACAGAAAGTGAGAGGTTTGGTCTCTTCAGCCTCTTCTAATAGAACCAATCTCACCATGGGGGGCTGCAGACCCATGATAGCATCTCTACTTGATTACCTCTGTAGGTAATTAAGGGCCCATCAGATCTCAATAGCATCATACTGGGGATTAGGGCTACAGCATATGGAGCTGGGGCAACACAGCTCCATAAGGACAGACATTCAGTCTTCAGCAGGACTTGGCTGGTGTCACTTGTCATTCTGCATTTCTCTTTAGTAGAATGGCTGCCATCTGTGCCTTTTATGAGTATTTTATTTTAATTGTATATATAAGACCTGTTCTGTAAATATCTTCTGTCCCTCCTTAGATTGCTTTTTTACTTTATTAATGATATAATTCTGATTTCCCCCTAGTTCTTTGAATAGCTAGTGTCTATCAATCTTGTGGGCCTCACCTCAGATATAAAGTCCTCTAAAGGATCTTCTTTAATCATCTTTTGTCAATGAAACATTTTAAGGAGAAGTACAGTATGATCAGACATACATTTTTAGAAGATAATTCATGTTATTGTACAGATGAGAGAGATAAGACACCAGTTAGCATATTCTTCAAAAATTCTTGAAGACATCTTGGTTGATGCTAGTTAAAGATTGTGGCAGCAGAGGAGAAAGAGGTAAAGATGAAACCCAGACATATTTAACAGTGAAATCTGAGACTTGGTGGATTAAAATGGAGACATTCAGAGAGAGGGTGATAGCATGTCTGTCTCTGAGTTTTGGCTTAAGCATTTGGGGGTCATTCAAGACCAAATTCTGATTTTGCCATTCCCCTGTTCAGTATTTCAGTACTCCTCAAAAGCATTCAGGGTGAAATATAAATTTCTTAACTTAGTTGTCAGAAATGTTTCAAGAGCTCCTTCCTATTCACACCTTAATCTCACCTCTGGCCACTCACCCAGCAGGGTCTTCTCACGGAAGCCACTACAGATGACTTGCAGTGCATGTGCGAGCCGACCACTTAGTAACTTTGGTTTTCCTCACATTTGTGCTACTTCTCCTGTGCCTTTTCATTTTGCCTGGGCTATCCTTCATTCTCCTCTTTATTTAGTGAATTCTCCTCAAATTTGAAGGCTTGCATCAGTTGTTCTCTCCTCTGGAAAAATCATGGCCCTTCCAGTACGATTTAGGTTTTTGAAACAAACTTTGCCCAACTCTACATTTCACTCTGCAATTGGAGGGAAATTACTATTGTATTGTTTTGCCTTTCAGTTACACTTCAAGTTTCAGAGTCAGGGAACATAATTTGTTTTATATACTTGTATTATTAATACTTAGTATACAATAGGTGTTCAATATAATATTTAACTGTATCAATGGCTAAATGGATAGATTAATAAATTCTTCTTTGTCAGAAAGATAAAGTAAGATTTCATGAAATAATTGCTTGATTTTGAATTAGACTCCTCATCGTTGAAGCAGGAATAGTATTGAGAGAGACACAGATATTGGTATAGATAAAGCAACAAATATATATTGTATGTACTGAGTTCCTGAGTAAGTGAGAAGGCAGGGATCCCAGGGGGAAAGGAGAGTGTGTGACAGCAGAGAAGCACTTTGCTTTGGCTAATTGTGAGGGGTCTACTTTGGTTGAAGGTTAGCATAGTTGAAGGAGACAATGGAAAACTGAAGGACCTCTGGCGGCAGGCTCATCTTTTTGCTTTTGGGTTTGTTTATTGGAGGAGTTATGGCACTGTCAAAATTGAATTTTTTATAAGATTTAATTTTTTCATGTGATGAGATCTGATAATAATAGAATACTATACCAGTCATAAAATCAAATATTGACAGAGAAACAAGTTGGTGGATTCTTACTTGGCACCTTCTGGGAGAAAATACCTAGTATTTTCTCTGTTCCTAAGTGGACATTTTACTCTGTAAGTTAACTATGGAATCTAATATAAAGTGTATTGGAGGAGGAAGTAGAGGAGGAGGAGGAGAAGGGGAAGTATGTAATCACCAGTCAGATTGAAGTATTGAGGCTTCTGCTAGTTTAAAAATGTGTATGTTTATATGGCCACTTAGATTTTAAATTCTGCCCTGAGCACTGGAATGTAGAATCATTGTACTTCATCATTACAGATCATGTCCAGGAGGCCTCTTTATTCAGCTAGCCCTATATAACAAGAACATTTAATTCACCAGACGTCATTATTTTTGTTTGTTTGTGTTCTATATTCTGGCATTTCAAATTACACAATCTGGTGCTTTGAAGTCATCACTGGAAATTTGGCTCTAACTAAACTGGCGGTGTCCAAGGAGGTGATCTTGGGTAAATCTGTTTCACTTTTGCTCTCTTCAAAGGGATTGCTTTTGTTCTTCTGTGTCATTACAAATGACAGGTTCTCTTGCCTCCACTTCTATCCAAACTCATGTCTTATGATGCATGGGAAATTTATGTATTTTTAAATTTGCAATGAACTTATTCAAGCTTCTGTGTATGGGCCCCTGAAAAACAGAGCAGAAAGTCCAAACTACAGTCTCCAATTCCGCCTGGGCTCCAGGGTCTCTAGCCCATTGTAGGAGACCACTGATGACGACCCTCATATGGTCTTCCCTCTAGGGCAAAGCAAGACGGTTGGGGGTGGTTCTTAGCAATTATTCAAGAATTTAGTTATGTGTCCCATTTAAAAAAGCAAAGCACAAGAAAATAAAGCAGTATTCAATTATTTTCGCCCTCTGTTAGGTCTGCTGGTTCTCCTTTTAAAGTGGATTAAAATATTCCTGACTTTAGAAACTGAGCCTAATATGTACTCTATCATTTGTTTGTAGAACCAAATAATGTGTTACATTCCTAAAGAAATACATTTCAGGAGAAATGTTTGTGAAATGATATTTCTCTTAATCCACTCAGAAGATTGTCACCTGACACTGACTATAAAAAAAATCAATGTTTAAAAGGCTTACTCATTATAAAAATGTATCATTTCAAGTTTATTCTTGCTCCCTATGTACACAGCCTAGTTGAACACGATTATGTCTAAGGGCAGCTTATCTCTATAGAACACACAGAGGCATTAATGCTAAAATGAAGTACAAGGAAGAAGTCTTCTGTTGTTAATATTTTTGTTATTGTAGGCAGAGCTTGAGGAGATGAGCTGAAATAAGCGTAAGCAATTTCAAGTTGTTTTGACCATAATCACTGGACAACAGAATAGAGAGAAAATGTTGTAATACTGTGTCCTTCTCTTCCCTCGCTGGAATCTAGGGAACATTTGGGACTGAAGATTTAAATGCCCCAGTGAATGAGGAGGCATCCTGTCAAGCTAGTTGGAAGCAGATTGAGTAAGGTCAGTTAAGATTGGCACCCTGTTGGGAGAATTGAGTGATGATGATGAAGCTGAAAAGGCAGGGGAGCATTTATCTGAACACACCTGGCCCTTGTTGGTTCCAAAGAAAAATCAAGAGACTTAGCAAAAACCTCTTGTTACTAAACGTTTCATAGAAACTAACCATGCCTAGAGATTCATAAAAGCTATCTAAGCCAATAAGTTATTATATATGGCATCTGAGCCATTTATTAACAGAAAGAAATGGCCCAGCAAGTGTTTAGAAAAATGTACAGACATTGCACAGAGATACATATTTTTCCAAACAACATTTTATCTTATTTAAGATACTTTGGAACTATCTACAAGCTATTTTAATGAGATTGCTTTCTGAAGGAGACAAGTTCAGCACATCACTGCTTTTCTTCAGGATTTTCCTCCCTCGTGTAAAATTTTACCTGTAACAGAGGGAGAGAATCTCCGGTTCTAAAAACTCAACAAATTTCTTGTCCACAGATACAAGTAAGTGGAACCCATAACTTTTCAATAACAATACTAGTCGTTGTGATTTGTTTTCAGTTTGTTACAAATTCAAATAACACTGCTGAGTGTAAGATGTTTCAAACTATTTTTGCACTTGTGTATTTGTTTCAGGGACCTAGAGAGACAAATCTGAAAGCAGGATGTTCTGATCCAGAAGCAGCTGGAAATGGCAGTAACCTGATATGGAGCAACCAAGAACTGAAGGTTTGTTTGGAAGGCGAGACTATGACCAGCTGTGAGACTGAGTGATGGCAGCTGAGAATAAGTGCAAATACAGCTAGTAGTGACTTCCGGTAGGAAGTTACTGAGGACCTTCCTTGTTTCATGTCTCTTTCTGTCGCGACATTTGTACCGCATCCATAGATTGCAATACTATCTATGGAGGAGGGAAACAAGCTCTTCAATTTATTTTTATTCTTAATAATAGCTTCTGAGCCTCCATGATTTGAAAATACAATGATAAAATGGCTCTTTCAGAAAACAATATATTTCAGAGAATAAGCAGCACAGATGGTAGGTAGAAAACAGACAGGGGGAGGATAAGAATCGTATGGGAAATGTGGAAGCCAAAGAACTTACAAGTATGACACATGGACATGAACTAAAGGGGGGAAATGTGGGTGGGAGGGGATATGCAGGGTGGAAGGGAATAAAGGGGGGAATGGGACAATTGTAATAGCATAATCAATAAAATATATTTAAAAAAATAAAGCAATATATTTCAAAGCCCAGTTGTATTTTGGACAGGTAAGAATATCTCATAATTAAATGCTCTTTGGCATACATTGCCTCTCTAGTCTGCCATTTGTTTTTATTAGTTGTTCTCTCTTTTCTGTACTTGCATAGCTATGAACAGTGATTTCATTCTTCCTTCTTCCTAGCAATGTAATCATTTCACTGATATACAAGGGTAGACCATAGATGTTGCTCATTAAATATTGTTGAACAATCTATAATTGTACTATTTGATATTTGAATACCACTTCTTGGGAGTTTGTAAAGCACTTTAACATAACTTATTTAATTAAAGTTCACTGGAAAACAAATATGTTGTCCAAATCTGTGTTTCTAAGCCTCCTTATTTTATATGCTTACTTCATATGTCACATACACTTGTCAGTGAATACAGACACGTGACAATATAAACAAGGTTTCCCAAACTCATGCTTTGTCCTTTGTTTAGCCTTTCCTTATGACTATTAAAACTTTTTTTTAAAAAATAGAAGCCTTCCTCCTCTTTATATTACCAAAAAGATCATTTGATAACTTAGAAATGTTTCTTTTTTTCTTTTTCTTTTTGACTTCTGTAACTATGTAAGGCACTGATAGGGTGGAATACAAACATGAATTAGATGCATTTTTTCACCTCGGTGAGATCAAACTTCGTTTGCCACTGACAATTTCAGTTGGAAAAAAATGGCCACTCATTTTAGGACCTTGGGAGGCAAGCTGGACCCTGAGAGGCTTTATGGTTTTTGGAACTGTTCTGTCTATGCTCAGATGTACAACACTCCTTTTCATCTGGTTGCTTTTGCACTGCAAGGGGCAGAGGCAAATTATTCAGAGCAACATCAGTGGGTCCAGAGATTTGAAACACCGGTCTTATCAGCCATGCCAAGTTACTTTATTTGTTCATGGAGCCCTTGAAAAATGAGAAGGAACAGCAGGCCTTCCAGAGAACAAAGAAAGAGCTGGCTCCTGATGCTTTCTTTACCAAATGAGGGTGTTCAAATGCATAGAAATGTTAAATGCCTACCAGAAAAAGTATCAATGAATGACACTGCCAGTTACAGCTCACTCAAGCCTGATTTAGCAATCATTCGAGATTAGACCAGGGAATGGTTTTGCAGTATGAAAAGCCTTTCAATTATTCCTGCTGTGTGTTAATGCATTTGAGACATTGGAAGGGAGGTTGTCAAAGGAAGTAGAATATCAGTACCACCACCTACACTCCCGAACAAAAAATATAATGTAGTTGTATGGAAGTAGGCTCTGCGCAACATGAACTTTATTAAAATATGTGTGTGATCCTGTAGGCTTGAAAAGTGTCAGATCTGACTAAGAAATAAAATAATAATACTATGTGTCAGTATTCATGCAGAATTTTGTCTTCTGAGGACCCCAAAGCAATTTATGGGTATAGCTCAACCTTTTCACGTTGTGGTTTAGAATCTCAGCCAGTGTGCTTTAACACATCTAGCAACTGGAAAAGTGACTAAGTCTCACTGTGGAAACTTTCAGAGATTCAATTTCTTATCACAAGCCTGGAAAATGAGAGGATAGTGGTCCCTAAACCTAGGCAACTCATGCACCTGGGCAGTGTCTCCATTGAGTGTTGCCACATGTGTGGAGGGACATCATGCATCATTCCAGCCCCAGAAATGGAAAAGGATTTATTCCAAAATGAAAATCTGGTACACAGGCTACATAAGACTTTCTAGCTTTATACCAACATTTTATTAAAAATGATTCTGCAAAGTATTTATAGTGCACATCAAGATTGTTATTTAAAGGTTGAGATACTATCCTAAAGAATCATGGGGTCTTTATAATATTAGGATTTGTGCAAGATAAAGCCCATCGTTGCCATGGAGATCAGTAAATAATCTTGATCTGAGACACTAGTTCCCACTGCCAAGACATGGGTGGGAGAGGTGGTTCCCACAGACACTGTTTTCTCTAGGCTAAAAATACAGCATGGTTTCTATCAAAGGGCAATTTTTAAAACTTCATGGTGATGTGGCCTAAAGGGAACATGCCCTCTCATTTTTGGAACAATTAAGCAGTGAGTGGGCTCTCCAGTCCTTGGAGATTATATTTGTATCCAATATTAATTAGGCTCGTGCTCTTTGTGTCAAAGGTGGTGTCACAACTGCAGCTTTTTCTAAGTTCTGTTTCACATGGTCTTAAAAAAGAAATTGTTTATGGAGAGGGATACATTGCAGGCAGAAGTTACTTCCTTTAAGGGTTACATTGTAAACTGAGCACACGGACAGTTACCTCCTTTCAAAAGTCGTTTGGGTTTGTGAGATACTGCTCTCAAGAGCGATGGATGTAAATTCTATGAAGATTGCTTTTAAGACTTCTCATCAAGAAATCCAAAGCATCAACAAGTTTCTCCTCAAGTTTACTGTTAAATGATTATGTCAACAGAAATAAAACCAGCCCTCAGATTTATACAGTGCTGTGGTGTCGGCAAAGCGGTTTTGCCACCCATCATTTTGCTTGATGAACTTCCCAATCCCCTGAGATAAGAAGTGCTGGGAATGCATTACTATCTCCTTTCCTATCATGAGACTGAGAATTACAACAGTTCAAATGCTGCCTGAAGGTACACAGATAACAAGTGTGAGATTGAACACCAGGCCCCCCTCATGAAAACCATCTCCCTGCTCTGTTGTGCTGAAGTATTGTACTTCATCTATTGAGATGAAGTATGTCATTAAGGAAATGACATACTTCATCTCATGTAATTACTCTTACAAACACTGTCAACTGTCATTCGATTCTGTGACAATTAACACTAAACTGTCATCTGGATTACTGTCTGGAGGATTAGCTGAACTAAATAGCAGTTCAATAAAATGATCCATTGGCTGGGGCTGAGCATCCTCATGGTCCCATAAAAGGGATTTATTTTAAGAAAATTTAACACACATTGAAAAAAAAACTAATTCTCAGTTCATTAAAAATCCTGCCCAAATCAAGTTTTATTTTTCCACTTAGAAGGTAAGTCTCCCTCTTCTTCTTTTTAGCCACCCCCATCCACCCCCAGGACCCCTTGTGGCTTGCCAGCCTTATTAAGTTTATCATTGCACAATTTAACCTGTGTTTTTGCCTTACTTTGATGGATGTTGTGGTAGAACAGTCAGGTTTAAAAAAATGTTATTCCCCCTGCTGTCTTTCTTTAAGGTATGGTCTTTAAATAGAATATTCGCTGGGCTGTTTCCAGTTTCGAATTGTGCAATTTATCAGGGGATCAGCACTAACCGCACTACATGCGTATGAACTGACTGCTTCAGGAGTCCTGGAGCACCTGCTGTCCTCTCTCAGACATCACTCCTTCCACGCAGGCTCCTTCCTCCCTGAACATCATTTGTAAAAGCTGTCACTTGACGTGATAAGGAACTCATTTTTCTCAACTGTCCCCCAGGAGAGACATCTGTTGGTTCCCACTGCGCAAGGCCCCAGAGTTAAGGGCTTCACGTCTCTATCCAGCTTCCTGATCATCTTACCCTTCATTCTTATGAGTCAACCCTGTGACCTTCCACAGTTTTTATTTTCTCCTTAAATTATAGAGTTGGCTTCCTATATCTGCAACTAGAGAATCCTGCTTGCTACAGAAGAATAAAAAGAAAATGTTATAATTAGGCTGTTCTCCCACTTGAACAACACTGTAAAATAACCAAATAATTTTGTCATCAAGCATTATTTATTATGGTAGTCTTATACTTTCTGCAAATTACTAACGTCTACGGAGACAGTGTACATTTTGCTTGAATCTCACGAGGTTTTTCACAGGCTGTGTTTACCGCACTTTATGGGAAGGGAGGTAAATGAAATTTGTCTGTTTATAAAACCTCCCTACAATCTTTATATCTGGAGTGGTAGTTCCAAACACACTCATTTCAATGGCACACCACTGACCTGGCTCATTTAGGAGACAGAGAGATTTTAAGTACTGGTTGTGAAGGTCATTTCTCTAGGTCAAGGATGAGAGTCAGTTAGCCTTTCTCCAGTCTAGGAATCTGTTTGCTCTGCTAATTGAACTACCCTAATCAGATCAATAACAGCCCTTCTCTGCAGTGAGGCAGGCGAAAAATCCATTCTGAAGCAGTGATGAGTTGCTTTTCCCTCCTACATGCCTCCTACTAATGTGAATCTTGGCAGAACAGACACGACTTAGCAAAAGGTAAGTGTACCAAAGCTAGAACCACATTGGAGAGTTCCTTTATTCCTGAGAGACACCTAGGTTTCCGCTCCTCAAAGATCACCATCACTGCGAACTACCTTCCTCGCTTTGAAACCTTGAAGAGCAGAGACTGCGACAAAGTGGGAAGAATGGGTGATTGACTGACCTCCATGGCCCCTAGGGGTTAATCCATCTCTCCTGTTCCTGCGTATTTCCCATAAACAGAGTTCCCTGAAAGTCCATGCTCAGTTCAAGAACAGAAAATACACACAAGCAAAATCATGACCACTCTTTATCAATTATGTATATCTTCCCTTTTTCTTCTCAACATGTTGAAGGAGGGATGATGAGAGCTCATGGGAAAATAATTTGGTTGAAATCTTACTTTCCCTAGTCCAGTCTGTCTCTCCTCCTTGTGTTCCCCGTGTCAGTAATTACCAACCATCTGCACCATCACCTGGGTTGGGGGACAAGTTTTCTGACTCTGATCTACGTCTCCTGCCTGGAGCTCCTTCTATTTCTTCTCCACATTGCATCCGATATGATCTTCACTGAGCTCGAATCTGATTCCCTCACTCTACTGATTGAAATCTCTCAGTGGTTCCCCAGAGCTCTGGGGTTGCTCTCCAATTCCCTCCTGTGGTATACGGGCTCCTACATGATTTGCTGCCTGCCTGCTCCTTTTGGCTCAT